ATTCATATTTCTTCATTAAATAACTTAAAGTAATTTAATTTCACAAAGAGCGTGAATGAATCACCGCTCGCGTGCTCTCTTTCTCAAAATGCAAATGGCTTCAAATCACATCTGTACTATAAGTGAGCTGCACGCTGCACAGTTGACACAGGAATTGTCACTTGCACTATCGAGGCAGTGTCGCATCGTCACTAAAGTTTATAAATTGCATTTTTTCTTTTTAATTCTTGCCAGTGTTTAAACTATTCAACACTCATGCGCTTTCCTGAAGACCGTGCGCACATGCACACTCGCAGTGCACACACATAACACCAGGTTCACATAACTTTGTTTGCAGTGCGTATGTGGTGTGTATTTTTTCCGCGCTCATGTTAACGGATTAAAGCGTTCACATTGCACACATGGTTGCGGTCCGGCAGTGCGTTTAGGAGCGGTGCGTCTGCAGCAGTGCAGAGATAATTTCTGCATCTAGTCTATTTTTGCTGCGCTGCACGTGCTGAATTAAAGTAACAGCGCATTGTTTGCAGTAAATATGAACATGCATTGACACAAAAATGTAGTAATTACACCATAAATGCATATAATTAAAGTCTACTGTGTTTCACAGTCAACACACAAACTATGGCTCTTTGGCTAGGTTTAAAGGGGTCATATGATGCGATTTCAAGTTTTCCTTTCTTACAAGCTCTTGGTGTATAAAGAAGATCTGTAAAGTTGCAAAGACTAAAGTCTCAAATCCAAAGAGATATTCTTCATAAAAGTTAAGAGTCAACCACGCCTACCTAAAACGGCTTGTTCTAACATGCCCCCACATGTCTACGTGGAAATATTAGCATAATGCCGCCCAAATGTGCACGGAAAGAAAGAAGGCGTGGTTTCAGGAACAGCAGTAGTGTTGATGCAGCCATGTCAGGGAGACACTGTGTTTCAGTGCTAAAGCAAAAGTACTTTATTTGGCCTTCCGGAAGTAGATGCAATTAGGAATCATTGGTTAAGATTTATTTACA